CAATAATCCGACGGCAGTGGCCATACACGAAGCGAAGCTGTTGTGGCCTAATGAAGACATCCAATTTGTATTATCACTTGGATCGGGTCGATCCATACCATCATCCTATGTCGACAACAATACTATTGTTGCAAATACTAGTCTGAAACAGAAATTGGCAAAACTAATAGACAGCGCTACCGATACGGAAATGGTTCATCGATTGATGCGCGACTTATTACCCGCGGATACCTACTTACGTATCAATCCGTTTCTATCGGAAGTCGGATCCTTAGATGAAAATCGACCGCAAAAGTTGTCGCAAATGAAATCCGACGCTAAACTGTATTTACGTAAAAATGAACCCCGAGTTACACAAGCCGTCAGCGAACTAATGAATCGCAGAAAACTTAGACAACGTCTCGAAGATTGGCTAAGACTTCAGTATAATTTGAGAATTAAATAATAATAATAATAATTATTATTATTATTATGAAAATATTTGATTGATATATATATATATAAAATAAATATTAAATTAATTTATTGTATTATATAATGGATTATTTAATTGATTGTAATACTTGTTGCCTATATATTGTGTTTAATAGACACTTAGTTTTGTATAGTTTATTATTAATATATTATATAGAGTTATCCTGGTCAGTGTAAGATTAATTGTTGTTAAATAAATTTATCCATGTCTAATAACATGATTAGTGTTACGATATTTAATAATTTTTTATTTATACAGTATTGATAATTACTGTTAAATTAAATTTTGTTGTTTAATAAAAGTTTAAATATATTTAGATTATATTATACCTGTATATACCGTATAATAAATTGTTATTAAATCAATTTAACCGTAATTATTGTTTGTCAGTAATTGCCTTATTATTAATATATTTATATATAATTATTTATTTGACATATAAATTAACGTACAATTAATTAAAATATGTTTATAATCGATATCATTAAACTTTATAACACTTTACAATACTACTGTATTATGTATTATAAAATTTAAATAAATTATTTGTTGACTTAATAAGTTTTATATTTGATTTTGTTGTATAAAACCTATTGTAGATTTAATTTGATTTTTTAAAAAAAAGTTATTATATTTGTTTAGTACCGTAAAAAATTGATTTATTTTATATTAGAATTTTTAATTTATACTTAATAATTAATTATAATTATAATTAATTTATTAAATATTTCATTTGAAAAAATTTTGAAATTAATATATTATTACTACGATTTGGTCGGTCATTATTATCGGATCCATTGCCGGGAAAACTAATATTAATTATTATTATTAATAATAATTTATTTCACTAATTATTTACTGTTTAATAATCTTATAGTGTGTTTGTATTTTAAAGTATTACAATTATTTTAGTTGATTCAATCCAACACTATTTTCAATCAATAATTTATTATTATTATTATTATTATTCATTGAACCATATTTAATAATAAAATACCCTGATAATACAAACATAATATTAGTAATTTTATTAGCGTATAATAGTAAAACATAATGTAGATTATCATAAACATAGTTCAAACAAAAAATTGTTTTTTATGACTAATATACAGTTAAATTTGTACCATGATAAAAGTTTATTTATTTATAACCTTGTTAAGTTTATTTTTTAAAAATAATTTTAACACTATGAATCAATCACTCAATCAACCAATTGTGATAATAATGTAATAATATACAGTATACTAACGATATATATTTTGTTGATTTATTTTAATAACTTCTAATATTACCATTAGCATGTATTAGCATGATAATTTTTGTTTAAAAATATTTATTTAATAACAAAATATTTATTTAAACATTTATATTCAAACATTAGTAAATTAATTGTATTATAGATAACTAAATATAACAATGATTATTATTATTATTATTATTTTTAATTAATTTAACTTTTATAAAAATATTTTCCTATTTAACTATGAGTAGGCAAATTTAAAAAGTAAATTTGTTTTAGTTTACTTTTTTAAAATTTTTATTTAATAGTCTAATAAATTAAAATAATATAAATGTACTAATATATGAAATTATTTATTCATATATTAATATTTATCATATAATGTGAATCAGTATATATAATATGATATAACAATATTCATATATGACATTTAAAAATCAATTCAACATTTATTGTTATAAAAACTATATATATTTTATTATTTAAATAAATTAAAATATATTATCAATTGAACTTCAAATACTTGAGTAATTTATTAATTAATGTATTAAATAAAATTTGTTTTTTTGTCAATTATTTAGATATTATTATTATTATTGTCCTATATATTTGTTTATTATAATCAAAAAATAATAATTGTAAAAATAAAGTTTTATTTTATTATTATTATTAAATTATTATAAATTATGTTATAGAAATTATTGACAAAATTTTTTATATATAATATAAACTTTATATATATACTGTATATTTGTTTAGTAATTATTGATTTATTTATTTTTATGATTTTTTTTTTGATTTAATTTTCTATAACTCCATAGAAACTATTGTATTGTCAATAAAATAAAATATAATATTATGATTAATTGAAAAAATAAATCTTTATTTAAATTTAATCTTGGTTAGTTTATTTATTTTTATTTAATTATTTTAATTATACTTGAACATTTAAATTATTTTCATCAACAATATGTTTGATATAACAATATGTGTGTCAAATAAAATAAGTGATAATTAATAAAAAATAAATTTAATTCAATAAGATATAATAATATTAACAATTAGTTAGACAAACAAATAAATAAATAATAATAATTTATTTAAATATCTTTCATATATATATATATTTTGATATATATATATATATTAAATGGCAAACTTGTTAGAAGTTTATAATTATAATTTTAGTTAAAACTATTAATAATAATAATAATAAAATATAAATTAGGTTTGAAACCAATTAATTTTTAAAAATTAAACAATTAATTAATTAATTTGAGCACTTGGGCATCGTTTTTAGATATATCAATATATCAGTGTATATATATTTTTATTAAAAATATATATAATAATTATATTTCTAATAATATTTCAGAGAAATTTTTTTTAATAATCTTTTCAGAGAAGTTTTTTTAAAATAATATTTCAGAGAAGTTTATATATTAATAAATAAAATAAATATAGTTATATAACTTATTATTATTATTATTATTAACAAATACCTTATATTACCGGGTAGAGTTAGTATTAACAATTAATTAGTAGTCCAAAAAAATAATAATTACCGTAATAATCGTAACAACAATAATTGTAAATATTTTTTTTTGTGCCAACAAATAGTACCGTATATATCAATATATACTTTACTATAGTTTGAAATTCATTTTTTTTGAAAAAAAAAATTTTCCGATACAATACAAATCCAATATAAATATTTCCAAAAAAAAAAAAAAATTTGCAAAAATAGATATAAATGCCTTTAAAAATCAGTATCAATAATAATCCACAACAACAAAATAGTCAAACAAATAATTTTGAGAGATTATTAAATTGAATCAATTAATTCAATGAGAATAGCATGGATGCAATGGCCAATACAATAACTATCACACATTGGATCCATGGATTGCTTGTCTGATTTGTTGTTGTTGTTGTCGTATCTACCGATGATGTCGATGTCGGTGTCTCTACAGTTGTCTTAATAGTTGTTTTAACAGTTTTCTTAACTGTTTCCTCAGCAGCAGCTTTAGTATTATCATTATTATTAGTCTTATTATTATTATTACCGGCCGATTGGTTGTTCACTATATTAATAAATATTATTGGATAGTAAATGAAAAATTAAATAATAAATAATTTTTCAAATAAAATAATTAATTTATGAATAATATATGTGTTATTATTATTATTATTATTAGATTCATATCCTTATTATTATTATTATTATTGATAAGCAAATAATAGGTGCAATCGTGTAATAAGCATCGGGTAATTATTATTAATTAATAATTAATTAAACAATCAATTTATTTTTTGTTTGTTTGCTTCATATATACAATTTGGTGTAAATAAAGTTAAATAAAAATTTGATTACAAATATTTTTTTAGCATATTTTTTCTATATATATATTTATATACTAAAAAAAAAGTATCAATTAGTCAATTAAATTGTTGTATTTTTTCAACAAAATACCCATAATTTTCTGTTAATTACAGTATTATTATTAATAATAATTTGTGTGTTAATTAGTTTTTGTGTGTTTTATTTTTATGTTTATTACATATGGAATGACTCACAATTGGATTAATATATAACAATATATTTATTATTATTATTATTTATATATAATATTATATAAATATATATATTGATACGAGACAGAGATTCACTAAAATAAAATAGTGATTTATCCCACTATTATTAAATTAAATATTAATTGCAATTAATTAGCAATTAAATTTGTCAACTTATTATTTAATTAAATACAAATTGCAAAATGCAATTATTATTATTATTATTATTATTAAATAATAATAATGAAAAATAATGTATAGTCTAATAATACTCTTATAGAGAGACCAATTAAATTCTAAATTAATTCAATTATTTCGGATTTGACCAAAAAAAAAAATTAATTAAAATAAAATAATAATATAACAAAATATCTAAGTCAAAAATATCTATATAAACATTAAATTAATTGTATTATTATTATTATTATTATGGGGGGGGGGGTGTCGAAAATAATATGTATACAAAAATTGAGTAACTTTTTTTTTAAATTAATTAACTAACTAATCAATCTAAATTAATTATATCAAAACAATTACTTAGTAGATAAACTCTCTCTCTCTCTCTATATATATATATATATACTAAACTCACGGCTGTTATAAACTTATTATTAGATTTTAATATAAACTTATAATTATATATAAAAAAAAAAATTTGTTTCCATTTTGTTAATTAATAAAAAAAAGTAGGATTTAATTAAATTATTTATAAAAAAAAATAATAAATTATCGTTAATAATAATAATAATCATTAACCTATAGATAGTAGTAGTAGTAGTTTGAGAGTGAGTGAGAGATACCCCTAATATTTCACATGTATTTGTATGAGTAAAACAATTGAATTAATGACAAGAATTTAATTATTTTTTTCATATATATATAATATATATATATATATATATATATATCATATATATATAAACGGCAAATGTGTTTTACAATTAATAAAGTCTTAATAACCTATCGCTTGTTTGACTCCATTGACGGACTTGGATATTATGACCCCGTCCTCAGTCACGGTTACCGTTTCCTTCCCGTTCTCGAAGACTCTGTGAGCGGACAACAAAAAATCAAAATAATTAAAAATTAAAGTTATTATTATCGGTAATTTAAAATTCATGTCAATAACTGTTTTATACATCATAAATAATAATAATAATAATTTTAAAAAATAGTATTTTTAAATGTTAAGCTATCAAATAACTAAAAAAAAGTCAATGAACTGATTAATTAATGTTTTTTTTGTTGTAAAATTGTATTTCAATCAATCAATATATTTAGAGTTCAATTGTTAGACAACTAAAACAAAATTTTTTGTTGTTATTGTTATAAATATAGAAACTATTAATTCTATAAAATTTAACTGTTTTTATAATTTAAAAAAATAGCATAAAAATAATAAATATTAAACACAACAACAACAACAACAACAAACTATTATACTGTACATTACATTGCAATAAATGTCTAGAAATTTCGATATAAAATATACTGTACTATATATAACTATAATTAAATTCAAAAAAAAAAACAATACTAATATTTGTCTAAAAATAATTATCAAAAAAAAAATAACTACTAATTATTGGGAATTTTTTAAAACTAAATAATAATTATCATTAAAATTATAATAATTAAAAAAAAAATTTATATATATTTTACTGAAAACTCACTTTCTTGTCTCAATACGTTTTCCGTTAACATTTTTAGTCGAAGTAGTCGTCCGTTTGACATTAGGTCTGTTCCCGAGGTCATTGAATGTGGTACCCGACGAACTAAACGTCGTAAACGATGAGACACCATCGCCCCACAGATGGTCATTGAACGGTACATTAGTGGGAAAACCGCCGCCAAACTGGGCAAACGGATTCTGAAATGGAAACGCCATGTGCTGGTTATGCGGGTTCATCGGTACGCCGTTAGTCATATTGTTTTGATTGCCGAACTGGCGAAACATGTTGTTGAATGTCGGATCGGAGCCGAAAAAATCACGAAATACGTCTTCGGGATCGCGAAACGTAAAGAAACCGTTAAACGGATGGCCGCCACCGAAACCCTGATGATGACCGCCATTGTGGTAGTGATGGTGATGATTATGACCGCGACCTCCGCCACCGCCGCCTCCATTCATGAGACCTTCTTTGCCGTATTTGTCGTAAATTCGGCGCTTTGTGTCTAACAATTGATTTATTGAGATAATTAGGTTTACGGTAAGGACATAAAGACAGACAGACACTTACCATCGGACAGAACTTCGTAGGCTTCGGATATTTCTTTGAATTTGCGTTCGGCCTCATCCTTGCGGTCGGGATTCTTGTCCGGATGCCATTTGAGCGCCAGTTTCCGATATCTGCATATTATGGTTAGTTAGGTGGTAATGATGTGGCCATCATCGGTGGTAAAAAACAGTCAAAAAAACAAGATATAGATTTCATTATAATGAAACTATTATCATAATTATGGTAATTATCTGATATTTTCAAAAACCACTTACGCCTTCTTGATATCGATGGTGTCGGCATTTCGCGGGACATTTAATATCGTATAGTAGTCGACCATATCTTCAGATTGTGGTATCAATTTATATTATATGATAATAACCAACTGAATGGACAATCTATATCACAGCTTAGGTAATCAAATACTTCTTCGGCCACCACTTCTTGGAGACAGCGATAGAGAGAGAGACAGCCAATTGGTAGCCAATCGTCCCGAGAGTTGTTCTGGTCTACCGATTGGTTGGTTCCCGAGTTATATATGTATGTATTATATGATTCAATCGCTTCCAGTCTTCATCGGTGGTAAAGACCAACAATAACACCAACAAAAAAACACGAGTCTTTGGGATTCAAACAAAACAAAAAACACAACAATGAAATCAATACGTGTGTCGACGACACCCGCGCGCGTGAGTTAGTGTGCGGTAACTGTACGGACACAACAATACAGTTATATATTTTAATTATTAATTTAATTATTATTTAATTAATTAATTTGTGTTTAATTTTTATTTTTTCCCAATAAATGCAATAATAATAATACAAATACAGTAGTAATACGTCAATTGAGTGTATGCTATATAATACTAGAATAACCCATTAGTGTTGAAATAAATAGGCCTTAACTGTACGGTTCGTTGGGCACTAATAGTTGGGCCCTTTTATTATTATTATTATTTTTTAATACTACTATTGACTCTCTCTAAAATGGCTTTAATAACACTAAAAAGTATAATAATTTTTTTTTTTAAATGTTTTGTTATGTAAACTAATTGTTTGTATTTATTATAATAAACGCATTGATATATATGAAAAAACTATTACTACTGTATATAACACTAAAAAATTTTTAATATAATATTTTACTTACTATTACTGATTATCCAAATGGACTGACTGTCCAATAGATAGGTTGGTGTTTCACACACAACACAAATATATTAATTTTTATTTTCCAATAAAATAAAAATATTTATTTTATATATAAAAAATAACAGTTATTTTTACGATAATTTTTATTTAGTCAATGATAACACACACCAGTATATTACAGTACAGTAACTATACTACTATTATAATGACACTGACAGTCATGTTATTTTTTATGGGCAATGTATGGGTGTATTAGTATATTAGTATATGTATGGGTAAAGTATGCGCCGCACATCTATTTGATAAAATTTGATTTTTACTGTACAACCAGTTAGACAAGCACTGGGAGATAATTTTTAATATAGTAGTATATAGTAGAGGTTAAGGAGGAGGAGGAAGAGGTAGTTATATGGATGACATTAGACAACAGTGTTAGTCATAGAGAGAGATAGGGTTAAGGGCTATCCAGTTGACTGAACTTTTCTCTCTCATTAGTATTTAGTAATACAAAGTTTTTTTTTATATATATAAATAGTTATTAAGTTATGACAACACCTTTAATTGATAGTGTAATTAAAGTTTGTTTTTTGTAATTTGATTTTTATTAAAGTTTATGTATGTGTAGTATACAAGTGTTAAGTCAATAATCTCTATACTGTATCCCCTGACTCTCTCTCTCTCTCTCTCTCTCTCTCTCTCTCTCTCTCTCTCTCTGTGCGTGACTTTCCTCCCGTTAACTGACCAGACATATGGCTAAAACTAGTAGTAATAAAATTACTAATTATTAGTCACATTTACTGTAAAATAATAATAATGAATATTTAATATTAAAAGTTTAGTGTAATTTATAAGTTTACAAAATTAATAAATAATTTTATCATAAATTTTAATGTTAGTAGAAATTACTAGAATTTTAGTTAGTTTTTCAAAAAAAAAAAAAAAAATAAACTTTAGTTTAATAAATTATTATTTTCATGTTAAGCATTAAAAATAAATTCAAAGTTTTAATTTTGTTATTTAAATACTAATAAATCGATATATAATTAGTAATTAGTATTAATTAATTTTATTATGAATTTTAGTTCACTAATGCATTATTATTATTTATTATTAATTATTATTATTACTAATATTACTAAATTTTTACTATTACTACTATTACTACTATTACTACTAAAGTATTGATTACATTGATATATGAAATAATCATTTTCCTAATAATATCTAAAAACTTATTATCATTATTAATTATTTTAATAAATTAACATTGAATTTACTCTCTCTCTCTCTCTCTCTCTCTCTCTCTCTCTCTCTCTCTCTCTTTCTCTCTTTCTCTCTCTCTCTCTCTTTCTCTCTCTCTTTCTCTCTCTCTCTCTCTCTTCTAGAAACTTCCTGAAAAAATATTAAATTTCATTATTTTAATGTTAAATATTTAATAAAAATTTTTATTAATAAATCTATAAAATAAAATAATTATCTATCATTTTATAAATTGCAATATCATATTTATAATTATTGTAAACAACATTTCTATGACACACTTTCATCATAATTATTTTTTGTTGTTTGTTTAATTAAACTAAATCTAAATTAATTTTTTTAATAAATAAATAATAAAATTGTCATTTATTATTTTTGGAAATATTTTTATATTGATATATATACTGAGTATATATTTTATATTTAACAAAAAAAACTATTATTGTTTTAAATAAATTAATAAGTTTTTATTAATATAGAATCTATAGATATTGGAAATATATTTTTAAAATTTAATTTACGGTACTTTTATTTACACTATAGATATAAAATAATAGATAATTTGAAATTAAAAATATCAAAATAAAATTTTATTGAATAATAATATTTGTATTTTATAATTAAAAATAATTTTATTAATCAATTAAGTATAGTTAATTAAAAACAGTATTCGTTTAAACAATTTTTTAAGGTATAGATATTACCGATAATTTTAAATAAATATAAAGTTACAAAAAAAATAATAGTAATAATTCAATAAAAATAAAATAATAAGTTACAAATTTGCAAAAAAATACAATAGAAAAAAACATTTTGTAGACATTAAAATAGGAAAATAATAATAATTTTTTAAAATAAAAATAACTAAAAAACATTTCGATATAAATATTATCGTAGAAACCGAATAGACTACTAAACAACACAACAACACAACTATTGGTGTCATTTAAATACCAAGATTTTTGGTATCAAACATTTGGCTCATCGGGTCGTCTAAACCACCATCTGATGTCTTATTCCTCGACTCGTACCACGATTTGGCAATCGTTCGCTTCATATCGTCGTCTCCTTCGTCATACATTTGTTTCTTTAATAATAATAATTAAAATCAATTATTAAAACAACTAAATGATAACATCAAAGAAGTGGTAAAACAAAGAAAGAGAGAAAGAGAGAGACAGAAAGACAGATAGAGATAAAGACAGAGAGACAGAGAGAAAGACAGAGAGAAAGACAGAGAAAGACAGAGAGAAAGACAGAGAGAAAGACAGAGAGAAAGACAAAGAGACAAACCATGAGTTTCATGAGTCCAGCGGATGGATCTTCAGCGTTCATCTCATCCTTGTTGCTGCTGCTGCTGGTGTTAGTGTTGGTGTCACCAATTGGATCCTTCAACTTGCTTTTCTGTTCGTCAATCGATGGCCACTGTTTTTTCGTTACTGCTTTCTTCAAATAGATGATCAATTTCGTAGCCGATTTTGTCACCTTATGATAGCTGTCGTCGGGAACAATGGCAGCGTAGAGTCGGTTCAATGAAAATCGATATTTACCGAAAATTACGGTCAAACCCATGGCATTGGCGGAAAATGTCAGATCAATTGGTAGTGATTTGAGATCTGTTTGTTTATCATTAACTTCTAAATAGACTTTGACAAAGTCGTCGGTCTGATCCCATAGATAGCTGTTGACAGTTACCGAACCTCTGCTGACATCTCCGGTAGTCTTCTCCAGGCTATCGGCGGTTTGTTTCTGTTGTTGTAGTTTTCGTTTGGCCAACAGTTCGCTCTTTTCAAGTGTCAAACGACTCATTTCTGTGGCCAACAATGCCTTAACATTCGGTCGTTTTGCTGTCAACTCCATCGACGACAACTCAGACAAATCAAACTCAATCTAAACCAAACAAACAAACAGACAGACAGATGAAGACAAAGACATTGATTTTCTTAAGAAGTGGTGTTTATTTAATAAAGAAAAACTGAATTCAATTACCTGTTGGATGTTTTTAGTGATTTGATCGGCCATTTGGTCCACAATTTATTTATTTTTCTTTCACTCTCTCTTCACTTCACTTATTAGTTCTTCAGTTAATAATTAAATTTAAATTAAATCTCGAGAAGAAGTGAATGAATATTATTATTGTTTTGAAAACAAAAACCGAAAATAAAAAATGAAAAGAATTTTCTCGAGAATTATTAAAGTGTAACGTTGTTTGTGAACAATATATATATAGTACAGTAAAATACATGTATTCAATACAATATACAAAAAAGTTTTTATATATTTTTATACAATTAATTTTACTTTTTATAAATTATATTATTTAATACAAAAAAATAAATAAATTTATTAGTAAACAATTAGTGATAAATATTTTTTTTTTAATTTCTATAAATATAATATTTAATAATTTATTTTTTTAAATTTATTAGTTAATTAAAATCCAAAATAAACACAATATACTGTACTGTATATTTTTATATAGTTATTCTAGATAGTAATAATCTATGCAATGCTTGCTAGTGTTATACAGGCAATAGTTAGTTAAGGTGCTTAAGCTTAACACTACAGTATTATACACACTGTGTGTGTGTGTAATAGTATGTAATGTTTGAAGCCTATTAGTTTGAAGCATGATTACTATATTAAATGTTTACCACATTATTACAAAAAAAAAAACAACACATAATTAATGTTACAGTATTTATACATATTTCAAGACACACAATCAGGTCCTATTTGTTACTAATAGAATCGTATATTCGTATACATTGAATTTGTTATAATAAAACAGCACAAAAAACATTTTTTTTTTTTGGTTAAACAAATTGCACTGTCATTGCATTGTATTTACGTATTGAATGATAGCACAGAAAAAACAAATTGAATTTCAATTCAATCATTCAATTCATTGCACTCTTCACTGACAAAGACTTTTTTGGGATTAATATTGAAGACGTTTTTTTAGACCATCGATGGCAGTGAAGACACAACAAGTCAGACACGATATGTCGAATGTGACCTCTGCTGTTCGCAAATCGGCCGCAGCCGCCGTCGACGATATATATCCAACATTTAACATAACATCGGCGTCGGGTATCATATCATTGCTCGATGAAGACAATAGTGAACTTCGGGTGTTTGCATTGAGAAAGTTGAACACAATTGTCGACGTATTTTGGCCAGAAATATCCGAAATCATCGAAAAAGTCGAAATGCTATACGAAGATCATAGTTTCGGCGAACGTAAATTGGCCGCATTGGTGGCCAGTAAAGTCTACTATCATTTGGGCGCTTTCGAGGACTCACTAACCTATGCCTTGGGTGCCGAAGAACTCTTTGATGTTACCCATAGTTGCGAATATGTCGACACTATTATTGCCAAATGTATCGATTACTATACAAAACTTCGTGTCCAACAGTTTGCCAGCGAAACGGCTGGCGAATCAAGTCTGGCTGCTGGTCCGTTGGCTTCAATTGATCCGCGACTTGAAAAGATTGTCAACCGTATGTTTCAGCGTTGTTTCGACGATAATCACTACAAACAGGCAATTGGTATTGCATTGGAAACCCGCCGAATGGATATATTCAAGCGGGCAATCACCGAATCTGGCGATATGGCCAGCGTATTGAACTATGCCTTCAAGATAACAATGTCGCTGATGGAAAACCGACACTTTCGTAACGATATACTGAAAATACTGGTCAGTCTCTACCGTAATCTCGAAGTACCCGATTTTGTATCGATGACACAGTGCCTGATATTCCTCGACGACGCTCAATCGGTAGCCGAAGTACTCGACCGATTGTCGAAGGGTTCGGATGACAACACTTTGATGGCCTATCAGATTGCCTTTGATTTGTACGAATCGGCGACCCAACAGTTTCTTACTCGTGTTGTTCAAGCCCTACAAACTGGTGCACCGATACCGGCACTGATTGCCAAACTGAACAAACAAAACGAAACCAAACCACAGGCATCGGCCGCAGCCGCCGCTAGTAGTGAGACAACAACAGCTGAAACTACTGCTACTACCACTACTACTGCCGGCACTACTGAAGTCGAAAAAATGGAAACCGATGACCAAAGCAGTCCAACGGCGGCGGCGGCGGAGAAAAGCGAGACCACATCATCACCAGTTGCAGAGACGACGACACCTAAATCGGAAATACCAATACCGAAGTTGGAAGATCTTAGCGAAGATGAAAAACAACGTCAGAAACGGTTGGAAAAGTTGGCCATCATTTTATCGGGTGAAACAACTATTGAACTACAGTTGCAGTTCTTGATTCGTAACAATCATTCGGATTTGTTGATCCTGAAGAATACTAAAGATACGGTACGCAACTCGATCTGTCACAACGCCACGGTTATTGCCAACGCTCTGACTCATTGCGGTACAACTAGCGACCAGTTTTTGCGCGACAATCTCGATTGGTTGGCCCGGGCAGTCAATTGGGCTAAATTTTCGGCTACGGCCAGTCTCGGTGTGATTCATATCCGACACGAAAAAGAGGCGCTACATCTGATGGCGTCGTATTTGCCACGCGATAGCGGTCCCGGATCGGGATATACCGAAGGTTTGATTACTATTATTAGATAACTATTAGGATAACTAGTATTTGAATGTATTATTTACCGATAATATATGTCATTAGGTGGTGGTCTATATGCGTTGGGCTTAATCCATGCCAATCACGGATCAGCTATTATCGACTATTTAGTTAACCAATTGAAAGACGCCTCAAACGAAGCGGTCAGACACGGCGGTTGTCTGGGTCTGGGATTGGCCGCTATGGGTACCAATCGAAGCGATGTCTATGAAATTGTAATTTTAAAAAAATGATTTGTTATTTTTTACGGTAATAATAATAATAATAATATTTTCAGTTAAAATCAAATCTATTCCAAGACGATGCCATTACCGGTGAAGCGGCCGGCATAGCCATGGGCTTAGTTATGTTGGGCTCGAAGTCCAATGCTACCATTACCGATATGGTTTCCTACGCCCAGGAGACACAACACGAGAAAATATTGCGCGGTCTGGCCGTCGGTATCGGTCTGACAATGTTTGGCCGACTGGAAGAAGCCGATACACTGATCGAAAGTTTGTGTCGCGACAAGGATCCACTCCTTCGACGATCGGGAATGCATACCATTGCTATGGCCTACTGCGGAACCGGCAATAATAAAGCTATTCGGCGACTACTTCACGTTGCCGTCAGCGATGTCAACGACGATGTCCGACGGGCGGCTGTCGAAGCCATCGGATTTCTACTGTTCCGTACACCCGAACAATGTCCGAGTGTTGTCTCACTACTGTCCGAAAGCTACAATCCTAATGTACGCTACGGTGCAGCCATGGCTTTGGGTATCTGTTGTGCCGGAACCGGTAACAAAGAGGCTATTGCACTGCTGGAACCGATGACCAACGATCCGGTAAATTTTGTACGTCAGGGTGCACTGATATCGTCGGCACTGATACTAGTACAGCAAACCGAAGCTACCTGTCCCAAAGTGAAAGAGTTTCGCCAACTGTACGTCAAAGTCATTAGCGATAAACACGACGATGTTATGGCCAAGTTTGGCGCCATACTGGCCCAGGGAATCATCGATGCCGGCGGCCGTAACTGTACAGTTGCCCTACAATCACGAACCGGACACACGAATATGCCAGCCGTGGTCGGTATGTTGGTGTTCACCCAATTCTGGTATTGGTATCCATTAACTCATTTCATTTCGCTGGCCTTTGCCCCGACCGCCGTTATCGGTCTCAATTCGGATCTGAAAATGCCGAAAATGTCGATGAAATCCAATGCCAAACCGTCGCTATACGGTTATCCGGCACCGCTTGAAGAGAAAAAAGAGAAAGAACGGGAAAAAGTATCGACAGCTGTCCTATCGATTACGGCAAAAGCCAAACGAAAGGAAGCGGAGAAAAAGGAACAAAAAGATGGCGAAAAAATGGACATCGATTCGGATGCAAAAGACTCGAAGGATAAGGACACTAAAGAAACTAAGACTAAAGAGTCGACGGCAACGACAACAACAAAAGTTGCCGACAAAGATGCAGCCAAAGAGTCGACGACAGCGACAACAGCTTCGGCTGCGGCGGCCAAGGATACCACCAAAGATGGTGTTAAACCATCGACATCTGCAACGAAAGATAGCACTACAAGTAGTAGTAAAGATAAAGAGGCGGCGGCGACGACAGTGGCCAAAGAACCGGAACCGACATCGGAAATGTTGGAAAATCCTGCTCGAGTTGTACGCCAACAGTTGAAAGTCGTATCGGTGGCCGACGGCTGCCGATATCAGCCGATTAAAGAGCTATCAATTGGCGGTATTATTATGCTTAAGGATACCGATAGAAAGGAACCCGAGATTCTGGTCGAACCAGTGGCCGCCGGCGGTCCCAAAGTCGAGGACGACACAGAACCCGAACCGCCCGAACCATTTGAATATATAGAGGATTGATTGATAAACAAATTAATGATTACTTTTTAAATTATTATTATTTGCTAACATTTTTTTCTGTCTCTCTCTCTCTCTCTCTCTGTTTTATACACATTATTATAATTAATGAAAACAAATAAAATTAAATATTTAAACTAATTCTCTAAAATGAAAAAATTTTTATTATTCAATTATTTTGCATCTAATTTTTTTCAGGCAAAAAATAGTTTTAATTATAATTATGCTAAATTAGTGGGGGGACGGGGGGTAGCGGTTATTGTGCTAAAATTACCCGTTATTTCAATTAAAAATTCAATTAAATCTTATTAAACGCTGCAATGTCTACACTCTGGACATAGTCTTCCAGTTCTTCCAGCTTTTCGGTTAGTTCTTCGACTGAGACCTTATCGTCTTCGATGACAATAACGATTTGCAATTTTTTGATACCGTAGGCCAGCGGAACCAATTTGGCTGCAAATTAAAACAACAAACAAACAAACAATTAGATTAGACCCAATTAACCCAATCGGTAAGTGTATGGCCATATATAATAACATACAGGCGCCCCAAACTAGACCGTCCATTACGATTTTGCGCACATTCTCTTCCATGGCCTTCATATCGGTTTCGTCATCCCAGGGCTTGATGTCCAACACGACCGACGATTTAGCGATCACACCGGGCTCTGGTGGGGTGGGGGTGGAAAACATACGGAAATTGTAACTCAAATCTCAACAAAACAATTTCAAAATCATTACTTTTGGCCTTTTTGTTTGCATATTCTTCCAGTCTCTTCTTCTTCAGTTCGTCAGCCTCTTTGTCGTCATCGTCATCATCGGAACCAAACAAATCTACATCCGAATCGTTGTCTTCAGCTTTAGCTGTTGCCGCCGGTTTGGCCACTGGTTTAGCAGCGGTTGCGGCCGCTGTCGCCGACGGCGGCGAACTCGAGCTCTTCTCCAGCGACGACACTCTTAGCTCTAACTTCGATACCAATGCAGTCAATTGGTTGACAGCTATTTGAAAGATAATAGTAATTAAAAAACTAATTATAGATTTCTTAAACAAACATTTCTTAAGCGATTGATTCTCTGTCTCCAAACTGTTAATCCTATCGGCGTATGGATTACAGCCATCGGTTCCAGCCTTTTGAAGACAACCAACAAAAAAAGCAATTAATATGATAACTAATTATCTCAACAATGATATAATCAATTATGATATATCAATCGGTAGTTAATAAAAAAAACTATATATATATATATATATAATCAGATAAATATAATAATAAGTTATGGGTTAAGTGTATTAGTGATTGGGATTATAGGTCGGAGAGATAGATGGGATCAGTTTGAAGAGGATATCCATTAAAAAAAATCTTTAAAGACATGCTTTAGTTAATTCTGGATTTTTCAAAAAAAAAAATACATTTGTTTTGTTTGCTACTCACAGACTCTAATGTCTTATTAATTAATTGGCGAACTTTCACTAGATCTGAGACAATAGAAGATTCATTAGTACAACAATTGCTCTTTGATTGTGAAGTAGTGGTCGCTGAAGAACAACAAGAAGAAGTGGTAGTAGTAGTAGAAGTAGAAGAACAACATTTTGCTGATTGTGAAGAACATTGCTTTGATTGTCTAAACTAAACACATAAATATACAGTGATATTACAGTTTCATTATATGATTATATGTCAATTGGATATATAATTATTATAATAATAAGTTGTTATATAAGTTATATATAAACTAAATGTATAATATAAATGATAATTAAACGATTAAATCAAAAAACACACACTAATTATATATATATATATATATATATATATGATATTAGATATTATACATGATATATATGACTATAAACATAATATAAACATAAAATGTGTGAAAAAAAATAATGTAAAACAAATTAATTAATTTATAGTTAAACAAAAAAAAAGATTTATATGAAAAAGATATAACATTTAACTATTATTATTATTATTACTACTACTACTAACTATTGTAAATAATATGTACCGGTAATTGTATTGTAGTTTAAAAAAAATTACGATATATAACAAATACTACGATATAATAGTTAAGTAAAACATAAAAACAAAAAATTAATTGTTAGTCATATTAATTGTGTGTTAATTAACAAAAAAAAAGTTGTGAAACCAAAAAATTACCGGTAATTACACAAATAAAACAAAAAATATATTAATAATTATTAGATATATATATATATTATATGTATATATATAGGGGAAGGAAATGATTATGGGATCAATTTTATGGGTGATGTTATCAACAATTAATTTTAATTTAAATTTAATTTAATTCAATCAATCAGATCAATACATGGCATGAGTTGGTGCCGCCCGACGAGTGGTAATCCCTCTCTGCGTCGGCATATCTATACTTTTCAGTCCATACCGACTCTTTGGCCAATGCTGTCAAGTCTACCGACATTTTAAATCTAAAATAATAAATAAATATTAAATTTAATTTAATTTTTTTTAAAATAAAAAAAATATGATTAAATTTAATGTCAAATTAGTTTTTTTTTAAAAATAAAATTATTTTTTAACTTCAAAAATAATACTTACAGTTAATGAGTATGTAATTAGTTAAATAACAAACAAAAAAAACAATTGAATTAAAAATAATAAAATAAATTAACTAAAAAAAATTTATAATACAATTACTATTAATAACTAAATAACTATAAATTAATTAAATAATTAAAAATGTTTTAATTATAATAATTATATTATGGCCACATATACACTACTATATAAATGTGTGTTAAATTGACATGTACAATTTTTTTTAATATAAAATAAATGTACAACGTGTTTTTTAAAAAACCTGTCCATAAATAATGTAGTTTAAATGTAAATTTTGATTAATAGAGTCCCCCCTTATATAATATTAGTGTCACGCTTGTTGCTGATGGCCCTCAGATTCTGTATACACTTGATGTACAATTCTCTTAAATATTGATCGCAAATAGCGTTACATTTGATTCAATACATAACAATATAATAATAATAATAATAATAATTATTATTATTATTAAATCGATCGATGAATAAAAATATAGTTATAATAATAATAATAATATATTTTTTTTATTAATCAATCATTTCATTGATTATTCAATTAATCAAAATTGGATAATCAATTTCATATATAATACAATAAAATACAATATAATAAAAAAAATACTCAATTTTTTTTTGAATCTTTTAGTTAATAGTTTTTTTTCATTTATTTATTTATTCAAATAAAATTTATTTATTTATTTTTTTGTCAATACATTTTCGTTTTTCATTTTATTTATTTATTTTTTTTTGTTTGTTTGTTATTTGATAATAAATGTCGACAAATAAATCATTAAAATGACTAATCAATAATAATTATAATAATAATAACATTAATAATAATCTTTAAGTTAAATGTCTAATAAATAATTTACCCGAAAAAAAACTTTTTATTTATATGTATGTGTGCTTTAGATTTACATTATATTTACAAAATAAAAATACTAAAATAATTTTGTTTTATTTTTTTTTAAAAATTTTGTTTGTTTGTGTTATACCGGTATTTAATAAGACTAATTGAAATCATTATATATATATATTTTTTTTGTACAATCATTTTGAAAAAATTTCTAATATTAATAATATATATAATATATATATATATCTAAAAATCATTATTTTCAAAATACATCTAAAATATGATACATTTATAGTAATAATAATAATAATAATGATTGATCTGTTTTGTATTATTTTAATTTTATTATTTTTTGAAATATCTATCACTTTTTTTTATTTAACAATTATTAAATATTATTTTCTTATCTCTCATTTTGTTTTATTTTATTTTATCCTCTCTAAGAGGCTATGAATTTATTTGCACTAAAAAAATATACACAATTTTTTTTTTAATTTATTTTTTGTTTGGAGAGAAAAAATATTGATAAGTGTTTCGACTAATTGAAAATTGTTTTTTTTTAAAAATAATTTTTAATGTTTGCTTGTTGTTGGTGTAAATGTATATGTATTTTGTAAATTGTTTGTAAAGTATATACAGTAGTACTGTATATATGTTATTTTTACCACTAAACTATTTACTACTAATAATAATAATACTACTAATACTAATAAAAATGTATTTATTTAGTCTACAGATATATATATATATATATATATAAATTGTTGGGTCCTTTCTATCAATTCATTAGTCATTATTATTATTATTATTAGTTAGTTATTTATTATTATTATTAGTAAAATTTTTAATGGAAGTCTACATATATATAGATATATATATATATATCAGTTAAAATTAGATATAAATTTTCATTATATATATATATATTTATAAATATATATAATTGGAAAATACATTTCATTTTTTTTTTATTTATTTAAATAATGAATGATTCATTTGATCCACTGGTTTACGATATAGAGACTATAATAAGAGGCAATATATATATATAGATATAAATATTTTATACAATAATTATTGAGAAATTATCTAATAAACCATTAGATAAAGTCTTAAATATAAATAATTAAATAAAATATATTTATATATAGTATTGTTTTTTGCCTCTTATTATTTAATTATTTTTTTAATAATAATAATACTTTGAAATTTATGATTAATTAATTTTTTTTCTCTCAATTATTTGTTTGTAATGTTTTTTATAATAATTTTTTTTGTTGTATCGTGTCTTCAAAAAAAAACAAAACAAATAATTTATAAGTTAATGATTGCCTTCATTGGGTGAAATCAATTGTCTCGTCTAATATATATATTTACATTGAAAACCATTTAAAATACACAATAAATGTAATCTCATTTCGCTTGAAAATAAACTAAAAATCATTAAACAAAACACTAACAAAAAAAAACATTGATTTCACTTGCAATTCATTTTTTTTGTTAAAAATAATTATATATATATATATACAGTATATAACTAAATATATTTAACTTTTTTATATGTGGTATATATATATATAGTTGTGATTTTTTTTGTTGAAAATAATATTTATGTATATTTATAAATAATAATAATAATAATAAATAATTGCCTTAAATAACAATTTTAAAAAATCATATACATATATATATAATTAAAATAATAATAATAATAAATATTTTATGTTTTATAATACATTATATTTTTTAATAATATTGGTTTAGCACCTAAAACATGGATTGTTTTTATTTTCAATGATTGGTTCTCTTCATTATTATTATCTAAAAAATAAATAAATAAAATAATGAAGATTTGGTTTATTTTGTTGTTATTCAAATTTTGTTTGTGCTTCAAAATTAATTAATTAATTAAAAAAAAACAAATAATTTCTATTTATATATATATATAATTAATGACTAGTTTAGTAGTACCGTAATAATGATAATAATAATAATAACAATTAGTTTCTTTTAATAATCTCTTATTTAGTTTTGTTTGCTTTTGTTTATATCCCCTAATATAATGGTAGCGCTCGGAATCAAATACAATACTAGTTATAAAAAAATAATAATATTTATATATAGATTCCTCTGTCTGTATATTATTAATATATGTATATAAATATATAAGAGATTTTTTTGTTGTTGTGTTTAAAAATCAAATAAAAACATTAATGGGATTCGTGTGTGAAATGCATTTTTTGTTTTGAAAAAAATGTCAGAAAATTAGTTTTTTTGTTATCTTTTTTTTTGTTGATGAAGAGTTTAGTTAGTAGTTTAGTGATTAGTTAGTCCATCAACATCTCAGACAAAAGCCCAACACTCCAGTGCTTTGACCACAAAATCTTCTTCAAGCGATAGCATAGAATTGCCAAACGTTTTGCACGGATGAGATCGGCCATGGAATAGGTCGCCGTCCAGCCAGAGACCAAAGTTACCGCTGAGAAAAAAAATAAACAACAAATTAATGGTTTTAAAAATCATTGGATCAAAACTAATTGATCCGACATTTTTGATTAGGACATACTCGCCAGCGCCCAGCGATAGGCTATTTTGGTCGCCCTTAACAAAGAATAGATTCTCGCCGGTCCACGGATAGACCAGTAGCTGCGATGAATCGGTACCGAAAGTAAACAAAAATGTTTCGCCCGTACCGTAGAAGTGGTCACTGACACGAAGTGAACAGGATATCAGTGCACCGAATATCTGTTAAGACAAACAAAACAAACAAACAGTTATCGGGCGGTTAATGGCAGTCAACAACAACAACTGTGTGACCGCCAGATGGTTGTCACAAACAATAACATACCGATCCGTAGGTATCTTCGATAATCATGAGGACAGGGCTCTCGAATTTGTTCATTTCGCGATACAATGTCTTCAAACTGAACCCGTGTTTTGCCGAACTGTAGATCAGTGTCCACGAGTAGCCTTCGGCTCGGGCGGGAAGGTGTCTGCACAGCTGATCCCAACCAATTGTGTGGCAACAATGATGATGATAATCAAAGATACAATTAGTTTCATTAATTTAAGTGATGTAATGAATGATACCTTTTTGCGTCTTTCATCGGTTAATATATCGGTAGAACCGATCAGATCGGGTAACGGCAGGTCTGGCGGCGGCGGGTTATTGTGGACATTGATTTGTGGACGACTGGTGTCACCCATAACACCGTTGGTTTGCATTCAATGGGAAGTATATTATATGATAATTAAAAATAAAATGATATATTCAGTGGTCAGTGATTGCAGACAACAACACCAACAACAACGACAACAAACTCTTGGATCTCAGAGCTGATCCCAAGAAAAAACTATATGATATTTATTTATTAATTAATTATTTTTTTTTTAAGCCATTTATATTATATATAATGTTGTGTTTTCAAAGAGTTTTATTTGTTTTGTTGTTTATTTAACATCAATAAAGACATTGATTTTCAAAGACATGTCAACAACAGACACCACAATAACAGACACCAAACATACAGACAGACTGTGACTTCACTGTTAAACAGAGAGAGAGAAAAACACTTTCAAAATGCAATACTGACTGACTCTACAGTTAAAAGTCTAATAAGTATTGAAAATATTTTATCATTGAATTTGTTTTTTTTTTGTTGTATTAAAAAATAATATTGTATTCAATATTACTGTATATATATTGTATTGTTTTAATACTGAGAGAGAATCGGAGAGTATAGTGAGTGAGTGAGTGAGTCAATGAAATTTTGGTGAATAAATGAGTCACTGATTGAATTAGTATGTGATTGACTGTTAGTGAGAGAGAGAGAGAAAGAGAGAGAGAGAGAGTGAAAGCAAACAAAATAGTTATACGTAAATAACGTTAAAATTGATAAAATGTGTTGATATATAGTACAGTGTATAGTAAAGTTGACATTCACTTTATGTAATCGTAATGGGGGTCAGGGGGCAGGGGAGGGGAATAAAATAAGCCAAATAAATAACTAACGCTGTATACCGATAGACATACGTACATACATACACATACACACACACACACACACACACACACACACACACACACACACACATACACACACACACATACATACACACATACATACACACATACATACACACATACACACACACACATACATACACACACATACACACACATACACACATACACACACATACACACACATACACACACATACACACACATACATACACACACACTCATACACACACATACACATACATACAGAAAATCATATAATATGCAATACAATATATACTTAATACTACAAGCAACTCCCCCATGTGCGATTTTTAAGCATCATAAATAATTCTACATGTTACTAGTGGTAGATCTGATTCCATTCCCATTGTTTTATTTTCCTAAAAGTTCCTTATGTTCCCTCCCCGGGAATTCCTAGGAAATTTATTTTATTTGTGCTACCCCACCACCTTATTAAACTCTAAACAACACATTTTATTATAATATTTGCAAATATAAAACGTAAATATATATTAAAAATATAAAAATTTTAAGTTATATTGATTAAATAGTTTAAGCTAAATTGATTGAATTGAAATTTAGTTTTAAAAAAATTTAATAATTTTTTGTGTGTGCAAAATATTTAAGTTTTTTTGGTAGTATTTATTGTACTAATTATTAGTAACTAGTATATATATATATATATTAATATATAATTTCCCAATTCCAACAATAAAATATTTTCCATATTTTCAGTGAAAATTGCAGGAATTTTTTATTATTATTAGTGAACTTTCCTCTCTGGAAATGTTGATCGACAACTCTATATGTAACCACTATATACTGTATACAGTGAACTACACACTATATCACTGTATATATATGATAATTTATATAATAAAAATTGACAACATCGATTGCCCTTGATACTTTTTTTTATTGACTTATGTATGTTTTTTGTGTGTTGTTGTTGTTGGGAACATATATATCTATTTATATCATCATTGAAACTACAACAACAACATGATGCTGCTGCTAGTTGCTACAAAATACATATATATATAGATTATATATTATAGAATATATATATATATATATATATATATATATATATATATATATATATATATATATATATAGATTATATATTATAGAATATATATATATATATATATATATATATATATATATATATATATATATATATATACATAGATTCTGTATTATAGAATATATATATATATATATATATATATATATATATATATATATATACAGTATATAGTAATAATCCATGTTGATAAATTATCGTCAAACATCAGATAATAATAATTTACAGTAATTATTATTATATATATATGGCTTAATGATTGATCACATTATATAATATATATATATATATATATATATATATATATATATATAAGTTTATTTTTTATTTATTGACATATGTTTTTTTGGTTGTTGGTTGCCTACCATTTGGGGAATAATTTTTTAAAAATGATAAATTTTATGTTGTTATACAATATTATTGATAGATAGATAATATATATATATATATACAGTTAAATATGTTAAATGTATATATATATATAAGCAATCATTATATAATAGATTAAATTAGTGATGGGCAACAAACTAAAAATAAAATATTTTTTTTAAAAAAAATAAAATCAATATTTTTTTCATCTATCGTTTATATATATATATATATATATATATATATATATATATATATATATATATATACTATGATATATATATATAATCAATAATATCAAATAATAATAATAATTTAAAATACATATATCTATCTAATTTTTAGTAAACACATCATTTAAATTATTATTTTTTTCAAAAAAACAACAACAAAATTATTACATAAATTAATAAAACATTCAAAAAATTTTATATTCACTTTAACATCAAACAAATAAAACAAAAAACAATTATTATTTTAAAATGCTGTCCAAATATTGTGTATGTGTTTAAATAAAATTAAAAATTACAATTTTTTTAGAATTAAAACTAACATGAAAAAATTAATTTAAATAATATAAATAACAAAAACATAATTTAATATACAATATGTGGTCAAAGCATGTGTTGTAAAGCATTATTATTTTTTGCGGTACAAATTGTGTGACAAAATTAATAATATTTTTTTAAAAAATAATTAATTTTCTTTAATTAAACCCTCAAATTTGTTTTGTTTGTTTGTTTGTTTTTTTTTCGGTACAAATTGTTTATTATTATTATATATATCAGAATATATAATATTTTATTTTTGGTATTAATATTATTAATTACGGTAATTATTATTATTGTTTTACTATAGAAAAAATAATTTATATAATATCCTATTATTATTATAATTATTAATTTACTAATATCAAGAATATTAATAACAATTTTAAAAATTACTTTACAATTATACGGTAATTAATTAATTATCACATTTATAATATATATATATATAAGAATTTGTTTGTTTGTTTGTTTTTTTACATAAAAAACTATTCTCATTGTTCATCGTTGTTGTGGTTATCGTCAAAAATAAAATAAAATAGTCTAGCTAAAAAATAACCTTTAAAACATTTTTTTAAAAAAAACTAAAAAAAAATTATCCAAAAAATATATATAATTAACTATCGATTCAATCAATCAAATCAATAAATCAAATCTCGTTTAATGTCTTTGAGTTTGGCCAACGATCTGAGATATTGGTGTAAAAGTTTTTCGGTAAAAAACGGCATAAACGGCGACAAGCCTTCCATAAAGCCGATGTGTCCGCCCCGGGAGGTCACTATCATTGCCACGTGACTGGATTCTTCTACTTCATCGACTGGAAGTGCTATTATGGTATTGAAAATAAAAAACAATTGTCAACAACAACAACAACAAAATAATTAATAACAATTTTAAAACAGAGAGAGAGAGAGAGACAGGAAATTAATAAATTTTAGTTTTTCTATACAACAAAAAATTTCTAACATTTTTTTGCTAATATATTATATTAGCAACAATGCGATAAGTTTTTGTTTAGTTAATAAAGTACAGGTAAATAGTACAGTAAAAAATAATAAATAAAAACTAATAAGTTTTAGATAAGTAATGTTAAAATAATAATTGAATGACTAATACTATATATAAAAATTTCTAATAATACCAATGTTATGCAAGGTTTTGGATTTTAGTGGGGGAGGGGTATTTTTTTAGCCATACCCCCTGAATAATACATATTGTATATAGTTTGTCATAATTATCCATAAATATTGACAATACATAATTTCCTCAACAACAAAAAATTACCCAAATTAGACTCAAAATTTTTAGTAAATTTCTAATCTATAAATTATATACTAAATATATAGATATATATATATATATAATAAAGTAGCCAGATAAAAATTTAGGTTAAACTGATACTATTTATAACATTATATACGACCCATACATATATATATATATATTTGTTACTATACGTACCACAAACGGGTGCAAAAATATCGTCGGCAGCATTCAGACAAAGTGTCGGCCGCTTAATGCAACACAACTTTCCCTTATGACTAGACTGTAGATAATAGTCTTTAACACTCTTGAAACCCCACATTTTGATTGTAAAACTTTCGTCAAACTCTCTCAATGTTTTACTTTTGTTTAGATCTTCAATATTGATAACCGAATCAAACATTTCTTTATTATCGTTGATTATATACAACAGAGATCGGGTCAGATGTTGATTGAGTTTGTAGTTTAGACCGGGTTTTTCTAGACTTTCGGCACCGGCTAATAGATCCCAACAAACGGATATCAGTAGAGCCGCATCGACCAGCGCTTTGTCGCCCATATCTATCAGATAGCGTCCCAATACAATACCGCCCAACGATATACCGGTGGCCACTATTTTTGTTTCCGGATGATTGTGTCGGCGCATGTGATGCAATGCTTGTTTAAGATCATCGTAATCGGCAGCGCAATAGAAACGCGGTGTTGTCAGCTTCATATTGCCCCGGCCCCGATTGTTGAACACTACGGCCCGATAGCCGAGTGAATGGGCAACGGGAACCAATGGTTTAATATATTCAGTTTGGGAATCGCCGGTCAGTCCGGGCAGGAATAATGCAATCGGTTTCAATTGGTCATCGATTGTCGTACCCGACGAGCTCGGCACGGGTTCACTGGTCCTCGTGGTAGTCGTTGTTGTTGTTGTTGTTGTCGTAGTGGCCTTGGCTTCGGGATCGTACCAATCGAGTGATATAAGACCGCCATCGGGTGTATAGATATATTCACTGATAATTTTTTTTAAATAAAAATTATTTATTTAAATAATAATTAAATTAAAACTAATATCCTGTCAGAAAAAATCAAAGTTCAAGTCTCTCTCTATCTTTCTATTCATAAATATTTTAGTTAACATTATTTTATTTTTATTTTGAGATAAATCTAAATCACGTTATAATTAAAATTATTATATTATTTGATTTGATAACACTTATTGAATTGTGGACTTTGAACATAGTTTTTGTGATTATTGCCAAACAAATTGTTAAATAAAATTCATTATTATATATTATAGAGAAAATTACAAAATAAATATATAATATTAAGAAATAAATTATAAAATTGCAAAAATACTATTGAATTGCTTTTAATTGCAACTCAAGTTTTTCTTTATGACTAACACTAATTTGTTATACTAATGAGATAGCTATTTTAAGTTAATAATAATAATAATGAAAAATTATTATTATTATTATTATTCAATAAATCATTGCGTGAAAAGCAATTTCCTATACAATTGTAGTTTTCATATGTTATATACTATATTAATAACTAATTATATATATATACATAAAAAAAAATTTATAAAACAAGAAAAAATAAATAATATAATTATTGAAATAAAAGCATACATTTTAAGAGAGAGAGAGAGAGAGAGAGAGAGAGAGAGAGAGAGAGAGAGAGAGAGAGAGAGAGAGAGAGAGAGAGAGAGAGAGAGAAATAAAACTATTAAAACTAATGGACAATAAATATCAAATAAAATTATTATATAAAACAGAGAGAGAGAAAACATCAATAAATTAGTGAAGCATTTAAACAAAATAAAAAATATTATTATTGATTTATAGCCTAATTATAGGTCAAACATAACTATCTATATTTTAAGGTTAATATTAATTATAGAAAACAGTTATAAATAAACGTAAAATTTAGTTATTTAACTAAAAAAAAAACTAAATGCAATAAAAATTAAATTTTAGTTAATTATTAATATATATATAGTAATAATTAAATTAATAAAATTAATTACCGTCTATAGGGTAGGTTCGGTAGTCGGCCGCGCAAAAAGTTGGCCAACGCTGTCTGTATGTGTGTCTGAATGGCCCAAATTGGTGGCCAATATTTTCGTTGAATCTTCGAACAGTTGGCCAACAAAAACCATCGAAACTTTCCGTCGGCACAGAAAAAGGCCGGTTTCTGGTGTGAGGAAAGAGAGAGAGAGAGAGAGAGAGAGAGAGAGAGAGAGAGAGAAATTAAATAAAAATTCAATCAATCAATCACTTCAATTGATCCACAAATATAACAACAACAACAATCATTCACATACTAACTGATCCCATCCATCAATAGCTTTGACATTATAATATCAATGACTATCATCATCGGTAATGTTGACCACCACAACACACACACACACTCATACAGACAGACAGACAGTCGCGGATCCGATAAAATGACAAATTAATACATACCGTAACCACTTGTCGAAGATAATAGATAAAGAAGACAATGGCAAATATGATGGCCACAAACCATCGAGGATAGGATAGATAAAATGCTGTCAACTGATCCATCCATATGCTGACCATTTCAAACATTTCGGTAATATAGTCGGCCGACGACGGCGACAGCAACGATATGGACGACAATCGGGACATTACTGACCATCGCTGCTGTTGTTGTTGTTGTTCGGTAGTCATCTTCGGCGGTATAATAAAAAATATCGACGGATTTATTATTATTATTAAAAAATAAATAAATTTATTTAATTATTATTATTATTATTATAATTATATCATATATTTAGTTATCACATAATGTTTTGGATATTAATATAAAAACTATTTCATCAAACAATTGAAACTTTTATGTTTGGTTTGAATTGTTATTATTATTATTATTATTATTTCAATGTTGTATTCAAATATGTTTTATAGTTATTATTTATTTTTAGTTATTATTTGCTTTAATAATAATAATAATAATAATAATAAAGTAATGCTTTTTCAATGCTATGCTATGTATATGTTGTACTCTACTGTACTTACAGCTACAGTACAGTGTATACACTAAACTGGTATAACATATGACAATATACTGTCAGATATACTATATATACTATACTGTATTTCTAAATAAATTTAAAAAAAAATCATATTTCAGGCGCACAATAAACTAGTCGATACTGTGTGTGTATAGATTTAATATATATATATATATATATATATATATATATATGTATTCATATATAAATTTAAATATACAATATATACAGTATAACTGATAGCCTATGCTGGCAATGTATATACAGTGTGTACACTGTATTAAAAAATTTTTTTAATAAATTTAAATTATTTTATATACAGTGCGATACTATGACAACCAATAATAATACTTTAAAAAATACAATTAATAATAAATTTTATTATTCAAACAATATTTACAATAATATTATTTATGCATAATATTTACAACAAAAATTATAATAATCTAAAATTAAATATATTAAAACAAATAAATTGCCATAAAGTTTTTAAACAATATACAGGTATAATAATAATTAAAATTTATTAAAGTAAAAAACTTTATAACTTTATAATGTTCAGTATAACTAGTAGTATACTGTATACAAAAAAAAATCATATATTCAAAAACCTCAACAAAAAAATGTTTATTTAATTAACTGTTTTTATTGTTTATACAGTGTATTCAATTAAATAATGTATTGTATCAATATGTATGTAAAAATTTAATGCTGTATCAGTTATTTTTACATATATTATAGTATTTAATATATACAAAGTTTTATATAACACTAAGTATATAATAAACAGTATATACTGTATGTATTATTATACACAAATGTGGTATGTATATGTAAATATTGTTTACTGTACATGTACTTTAAATGTTTATGTTAAAAAAAATACTGTATCACGTGATATTTGATTTATTTAGCATGCTAAATTTTTTGTTTGTTTTTTTTTGTTTGTTTATTATTAATTCATTGATTATATTTTTATTATATTTAAAAAAAAATTATTTTATAATTTCTATTGTTATTTAACAAAATAAATAATTTTTTATATTATATATAATATAAAGTTATAATAATATTATCATATAATTAAATAACTGCATTGTTTTGGGTTAATCTACTATTTTATATACATTATTATCATATCTATATCCTATAGTTTATTCAATTATGTAAAACAAGCAAAAAAAAAAAGTTTTTTTTCATCTATCAATTGAAACCACAAAAAATGTTTCAACAATTATAATCACACATTAAATCAATGAAAAAATGTTAATAATATTATTATTAATAATAACATTAATTGCAATTTTCTTAATTAACTACTATTTGGTGTCAAAACTTATCGTAAAATATCTGCTTATCATCAGCGGTGATGACCAACTGTCCGCCACCTCCGCCGCCGCTGCCGATGACGACCGCAAAAGTCATGCCCTAAACAAATGGACAACAATTATGTCAGAAAAACTTAGGATCCGGTTTGACGACTATTTGATGACCAGTTTGGATGGTCTGCTGCAGAGGTTTGTCTATACCAGTAGTAGTAGTAGTAGTAGACCTATTGATGGTGATGTCGATGAACACAATAATTGTTGCGGCAATCGGCTGTCCATCGACAACGAGACCGAAACCATAGGCCAATTGATTACCGATGAATATGTAGACTTCTGGTACGATCTGATTGGTAGCGATAATCGTGATTTTGTCGGCGATTTGCAGCATATATTGCAATTGATTTTTACCGATCTGTACGACAAATGTCTCAAACGTATCGACAAACAACTGTTTCTCCAGAAGACACTTGTCTTAGTCAAGAAACATCTGAATCAAGAAGACAACAGAAGACTTACAACCATTGATACGGCAAACGATTCGCAAAGAGTCGGAAAAATTGTTGACCGACTTCTCAAGCTTACGGCTACCGATGAGATTGTCTCAGTGGTCGACAATTGTCGTCTACGCCGACAACGACGACAACAGCTATCATCGCAAGAATTGTCTGTTTTTGTTATTATTAAACAATTGATAACACATTCCGTATTCATTCCGATCATTGATCTGATATCAGATGAAAAGTTTGTTTACGAAAATCTATTAGTTTTGTTGCTTAAGAACACTGACCACAAACTTATAGATAATTATAATAATAATAATCAGAAGACTTTGGACACGGATTCAAAAGTCTCTGAAATCATCAGTTGTAGTGTTAGTAGTAGTAGTGGTGGTGGTGTGACAACTAGTTTATCAATGAAAACCATTGATGAAACAATTGATATCATTAAAGTCGACGACAACTTATCTAATATTAAACATATTAACAAACTTTTGAGAGTAAACTCCAATTGTAATCAACAAAAACAACAACAACAACAACAACGAGAAGATGAAAGAAGAAGAGGAGGAGGTATTTATTGATTAAATTATGTGATTAGTAGTTAATTGACACAAAAAAAAATTTAAACTTTTTTTTTAATTAAAGATAACAATTTGAGATCAACTGAAGCGAATGACTTGAGCGACAACGAGTCCATCGGTGGCGGCGATCTTATGGTGGAAGCGCTAGAAGTCGATGAAAATGTCGATCACGAAAAACTTATAGCAAATCTAGTCATCAAAGATATTCAAGAAAACAAAGTCTCTAACAATAGTTCCTATGTTTTGTATGGCATTGAATACGACGGACTGTTCCCTAAGACAGAAATCAGCGACTGTATCGGTGATGATGATGTTGATGGCGATGACGACAATGACATCATACGTGAAGATCAATACCTAATCCATCAGAGAGTGGTAGTCTATCGGCGTTTCAGTGAATTTATAACTTTGCAAAAACTATTGGAAAGACAGAAATTGTTTCGACGGCTAATGAAAGGCATACGAAAGCCGTCGGCCATACAGATAACGGCCCAGAATTTGCTATCATTTGCCACGGGATCTACAAATACCCGGTTGGATGTGTCAACCATTGAATTCAGACGACATTATTTGCAAAACTATTTGCAACAGCTTTGCTTACGTCAGCCAATAGTCGATAGCAAAGAATTCCAACAATTCTTGGCCTATGGAAGTGATGCTAATATTGTCTTTATTGGCCACAAATCATCCGATCGACTGTTGCCTAACATTGATAGAGCACTGTATAGGGGTGTCAAAGGAGCCATCAGTTCAATCATGAAGAATGCACTGCCAATTGAAGCACAAGTCGGTCGAATTGATCCGACATTTGGCGAACGGCAGGTATCGGACGTTGAAAAAGTTGGATCAATTAGATCCATACAGACAGCTGTCGAGTCCAATAATTTGATGCATTTGGAAACAAAACTGGATATTATTTGGCAACAAACTAATTGTGATAATACTTTGATAGACGACATCATCACCGGTGATGATGACTACGATAATGATAACAACACAATCATTGATGATTTATTAGCTGTCAATTCACCAGCAATTCTTGGTCCCCGTTCTCTGGGCGATGGATGCGAAGATCCAACTATTAATGAATGGCAAACCACTACTACTACTACTACTACTACTACTAGTCAAGAGTCGGCGGCGGATCTGATCCAATGTTTACAGCAATCAAAAAATCTAAATCAATTGATGTCATCTTCATCTTCATTATCATCATCTAGTCTTCTGCTAATTGATTGTTTCATTCAATCTCTAACAAACAGATTACGAATATTTTATTTAATATTATTGTCAAAACTTATTGAATTACTATTTGGATCGACAATTGAAAAGTTTGTTTTATGTTATTTAAATAATTTACTTTAAAATTATTATTATTTTTATAACTATAATATTTTTAGACTAAATTTAATGATTGATTGATTAAATATAATTAAATTTATTTTTTAATTTTTTTTTATAGACTTATTAGCGAACTATTAGTTAATGTCGTAACAAATGATATGTTTATCAAACAAATACATTCATTACATCTGTCTGTTTGGCCAAACAATAGTAGTCGACAGCAGAGGAATAAAGTCAACAACCAATCAATGGTTGGATCAGTTGATGGACAACAACAACAACAATCTTCAGACACATATGTTCAGCAAACGGTTGATATTATTTATTCACAGATCAGACAACAGACTACTACTACCAGTCCCTGTGTGTCATATATTTTAGATATACTATCAGTAAAACAATTTCTATACAATTGTTTGTCAAAACTATCCAATAGTTATTCAAACAAACTGTTTGTCTATAATTTTATTGAATTACTAGTTAATGAAATTGATGATCAATTTTAACTAAAAGAAAAATCATATCCTATTTGTTGTAATTTATTATATTTATTGAGAAAAAAACATTGTTTTCATAAAAAAAAATATTTAGGCAAATAATAGTTTTATTTTTTTAGATTTATTAGGTAATTATTATACAATGAAAACAAAATCAAATTAAACACTTGAATCGCAAATATAGTACAAATGATTTATGTTTCAAATTTTTTTTTAGTAATAAAATAAATGATTGTTTTTTATATACTTTAGTTTTAAATAATAATCAACTTTTATATCTTGAAATTTGTTTGTTTTATTACTTATATATATATATAAAATAAATGATAATAATTATTATTAATAATTAAAATCTTAATATTTGTATACAGTATTGACCAATTGGTTGAATTGATTTGTTATCATTGATTAGTAGTTTATCTTTATGTCTAATTCTATCCATTAGTGCCATAATTTGATCCATATTTTCAAACAACTGACCGGAAAGATCTACTTTACTATCGATTTGTTCCAATACTTTAACAGTTGTATCGTTTGGATTCATTAGAAATTCTTGAATATGTGAATCCATTAGAATAGATATCCAATCGAATATCTGGTGTTTACTCGACGGTAATAAATCGGATAAGAGTTCCAGTATTACCAGAATCTGATCCCAAGACAATTGTGATGATTTCAACTGCGATATCATAAACATATCGTTGAACGGCAACGACAACAATGTCTCCAACAGTGTCCGCAGGTCTTCGCTATTTCGGTTTTCCTGGATTTTTGTCGAACAAATTCGAACCAATTTCAAGATAAACTCTTCAGCTATGATACCATTCATTTGTTCGACAATTACAGTCAACCGATTGATAATCTCGTCAAACGAATCATCTGTTTTGACTTTTTGGAAATCTTCGCAAATACTTTTCAATTGTTTATTAATATCCGATTCAAAATCCGATTGTTTTGCTGATGTCTTAACTTTGCCAACAATTTGCGACAGACTTATGGTCTGTACTCTTAGAGGAATCGCTAGAATACCTTTAAAACATGTTATAAAAACTGTATCGTCTATTACTGTCGAGTCGTTAGGCATCGGTTCGTACGGTAAAACTAGTTGTCGGCCACCAAGTCGTGACCCGTACTGTGATTCCCATAATTCCATTCCGTAGTTGCCATCCATGGTCTGACCGATAATACAGACACTGCCCAAACGGGTTGCCGACAAACTGATTATACGTTTCATAGATGTGCCGACCAATGGAAACAGTTCGGTAACTGATTGGCCATCCATTGAATAAATAACAAACTGATTATCATTAGTCGGCGATTTTTTGGCGACACTCAAAATCGTTTTAGTCTTCAAACTGAGTGACCAATTGGTAAACGATTGATTGGCTAACAATTGTTGGCGATCTGTCTTAACAATTACATTGGTATCAGTGCTGAACACTAGCCGATAGATTGACTTAATTTGTTGACTATTATTAGTTGAATCATTGTCGGCAACGGCGGTGGCGGCGGCTTTGGTAATCAAATAGACAACAATCGCGCCATGGATTTCCTGGTCAACAAAACCATCGATAAATTCAATGGACTCGTCGTCGGCGATAATCGACTGCTGCTGCTCTACCCGTCGGGTTTGTATGGCTTCGCTCATTATCTGACAATAGCCGTTAGCGTAGACAACAATCGGCTCAATGGCAGCCGCCGCCGGTGGTGTCTGGCCGTTGTTGTTATTATTGTTGTCCAATGCAATAATACCGGCGATAGCGGTATTCACAAAGTATTTGGCCACTCGTGTCTTGATATCCGTATGACCGCTGCTGCCGCCGTACGTCCACTTTGTCAACGAGTTTGGTTCCTGAATGGCCAGCATATATTCGGCGCCGCCGTCATTCTTGTCGCGATAGGTGACCACTGGAAAGTCGAGTCGATTGAGTTGCGGAAAAATCCAGCTTTCGGTCGGCACTAAATTGGTACCCGATTTTGTATCGTAATTGGCCACCAAATTGACCGATTCGGTTACCAATATGTGGCCATTGCCGCCACCGTCGCCACCGCTACCGTCGGATTTGCATTTACAGTAGCGGCTGATTCTTGTGGCCAATGTTTGGTCAAAATTGTTATTATGTTTGACAATATCGCCGAAACACGAGTTATCAGTCATTGTTTATGTAAACAAATAATAATAATAATAACAAAACTATACAAACATTTAAATACTTAAAACACTATATTATTAGTAAATAATAATAAATTAAAATACAATTTAATTGTTAATTAAAAATCAATTTATTTTTTTTTTAAAATTAATTTTTTGATTGAATTTATACTGTATTTCATAACAACAAAAATTGTGTGCAAAACATGTGAGACTATGTGTTAAAGTTCATGCTTTACACTCATAGGTCTACAAAACATATAGACATAGAGAAAATGCTTATAAATCCATTGTATGTTTAATATTGTATTTATACAATGTTTTAGCCCCTTAGCGGTTATCATTGCCTGTATAACACTAGCAAGCATTGCATAGAGTATTATAAGTGGATAGTACAGTATTAATTACAATACAGTACACTTAGCGCTATCTATTGGTTGTAATTAATACTTAAAAATTAAATCCAATTACAGTATGTACTATATATTATTACATAAGTGTTTAATTAATTTAAAATAAAATGTGTTTTTAAAAAAAAAGAAGATATTTATTACTAATTATCTGTATTTTTATATAATAATAATAATAATTAATAAATAAATTTAATTCACATTAAATTTATAGTAAAATTAATAATAAAACATTTTCAAAATAAATATTATTTTTATTGTACATTGTATACTGTCTGTACTGTACACTACTAGTGTTCGGACAATCTAATCAAGGAACGGAAAGTTTTACCCAAAAAAATAAAATTCCTCAAAATTTTCCCCGGAATTTTAAATATTTTATCTAATTAAATTAATATTAAAATATATTAAAATATTTAAAACAAAATTGTAATATTATATTGATTAAATAAATATATATATATATGTAAAACATTAGTTGAATTTTACGGCATTTACTCATTTGACGCACCAATAGATTAAAAAAAAAACTAATTTTATTTTTATTAAAACATTTTATTTTAATACGAAATTGTATTACAATTTAGTTTATATGTTGCAGTCGTGAAGCACAGGTATATCTAAGCATAAAATGTAAGGTCAGTGCTGACACTTATATAGAGATTTTAGGCAATACTTGACCCATAAAATAGTCGGCAGTTATTTGAAAAGTAATAAACATATAGAAAGTGAATAGTTTCTATAAATTGCAAAAATGCTAAATTTAAGTCTATTTGATAATTAAATTATTGCTATATTTTAGTGAAATATAGATATTTTAAAGTTATTTTCAAACATAAAGTGTTTATACTTTACATATATTTTTTTAAAAATCACTAAATTTAATATAGTACAATAATCTTGAGAGAGGGAATTACTAGATAATAGGGAATTTTAGTTTTATAGTAAATAATATATTATTAAGTTATTGACTACCCCTTCACTTAAGCGCTACAATTGAAACATAAATTATTATTGTATTTCATATGTTGTACGCAATGTTTGCTATAATATAATAATAATAAGAAACGATTAACATATTACGTTCGCACTTTTTAAGAAATCTAGACCCCCTTCCTCCCCTATGTTTGCAATTGCATGTTCCTAACCGCTAACTCCCCCTCCCACCCCCACCACCACAAAAAATAAAATATCTAAATGCGAACGTTCTGAAAGTCTCTACCCCTCCCCTCTCTCTCGTTCCCTTTAGCCAACCCCCCTCCCCTCAAGTGCTGACGTAATATGTGAACCACCCTCTAATGTATTCAATTATTTCATCACTAAATATAAAATAGTAGTAATTTTTTTGTTGAAATGTTATTATTATTATTATTATTATTATTACAGTATTAGTAGTAATCAAACAAACAAACAGTGGTTTTGAAGAAAAAAAATTAATTTTAAATAAAACTTAAATTTTTTTTTTTTTTGAAGACATGTCCCGAAACGCTAAAGTAAGTGATAATTAAAATTAATTGAATTTAATTGATTGATTGATTTGATCCCATCATCTGTTTTTGATCCCATCTGAACAAACAGGAGGCCATCGTATTGGCCATCGATTGTTGGCGCGCGATGTCCGCCGAAAGTACTGACGGCACCGATGACGCCGACGCCGCCGATGACGGTAATAGTGGCCGTCAAACACAATACCAATTATCTGTTGAATGTCTGGAAAATATTATCCGGCAGAAGATATTTGCCGAATCCAAAAACGAGTACCAATTGATCGAGTTTTCGACGGCCGCCGCTGCCGCCGGCAATGGCTATCGATTGTTCAACAGTTTATCTCAGCCGGACTTTACACTATTGACACACATTTGCGGTCCATTGCGTGACCATAATTCAAGCGCGAGCCCGTCTAACGGTTAGTTTCGCAAACAATTGATTAACCGATTTAACCGATAGTTTTGTATTATTATTGTTGTTGTTTTCAATTGATCTGATCTATCATTTATAATGATATTAGTGATGGATGTGTTAGGTCTGGCCATCAGACAGTTAGTTGAAACCGAGAAAAAGTTTACCGAAAAAAAGATAGCATTATTGACAAACTTTTCCACATTTACTGATGAAGATTACAAACGTTTTGTCCATCAAATCGGTTACCAATTGAAACGATTTGATATTCAACTAATTGTTATGTATGTATAATATCCTTTGGATTCAATCAATTGATTGAAATGTCTTGAAATTGTTGTCTTAATTATAATTATTAGATGCGATTTCATACCGAGTTCTTCAACTGTTCCGCCAAAACAACTGTCCAAATGTCAACTAAAAGCCTTGAAACTGATGGAGTATATCGAAGAACAAGATATTGGTTACTACTATCAACTACGTAAGGCTGTCCATCAGTTCAGTCATTTTGTCGGTAAAAAGACTACACCCGCGGCCTGGTATTCGACACTTGAATTGGGAAAAGGTTTGAACGCATTGAACATACCTATTGGTGCACTGATGAAAGCGCAACAGTTTAAAAAGAAAACAGGAATCGTTATATTCAAACCTCCACAACAACAGGAGACACTTCCTGCGGCCATCGAATCGGGTGCCACAACATCGGCAATCATATCATCATCAATGGACACCAATGATACAGTTGATGTTAAACCTAGTTTAGCTACCATTGATGGTCAGATTCAGTTGATAGTTGACAATCAAAACAACAGTACTGGTGATCAAGCAGTAGAATCGGGAACTATCTATCAATCAGCTATTGATGGTACCATCAAAAACATTGAAAAAGAAGAAGTAATATACGCTCATAAATATGGACAGACATTGGTTCCGTTCAGTGACGACGACAAGAAATCATTTGATTACACCAACAATCAGAAAGGTATGCGTATTCTGGGCTTTGCGTCCGTCAATGATATTGATATAACTTATCGAATGGGCCAAAAAAGTTGGTATCTGTTTGCTGATCCGCGACCAAAAAAACACAATCATCGACTAGTATTTCAGACATTGGTAGCGGCATTGCTTGATATGCAATCGGTGGCCATTGTTCGGTACAATTGGAGCGACAGATCCAGTCCACAGATGGGTTATCTAATGCCACTCATCGAAAGCAACAACGAAGGCAACGGCGACGACGACAATATGTTTCTGGTGTTCACTCAGTTACCCTTTGATGAAGATGTTAGACATTATTCGTTTCCATCGTTGTATAGTAAACCCCGATTTAGTCCCACTGATGATCAATTGGCAGCTGTTGACGGTTTGATTGATAGTATGGATTTGATGACTGCCGGCATCGATGAAGACGATGGTAATCCTAGCGAAGCATTGCTAACAGAATCCATATATAATCCACAAAATCAGTATTGGTTTCAATGTCTATATCATCGGCAACTCTATGGTACAACAAAATCAACTGAAATGCCACAAATGTCTGATAGTTTAAGAAATTGTATTGAAATTCCACGAAAAAATCGACAAAAATCTATCGAAAATTTAGTAAATATTTCCCAAAAATTTCCACTCAATTCCATAAAGTCTGCAAACAAACAAAAATTGGATAGTATTTCATCGCAACAATCAATCGATGATTTACAGCCAGATATCAAAAGAGTTAAGATATCTACCGATGAGGACAATAAAATTGCTGCCAATATTATGTCCAATATTGACGGTATGATTGATAATCGGGAACCGTTTGAAAATGTATCCAAAAAACTGGACAATCAATTGAATGAGTTGTTCGCCGATCGCAACACTGTTGACGCAAATTGTGAACAAATTGTCGATTTATTAGACTTTTATCGCAAACTATCGCTTATGTATTCGCAAAGTAAATCATTTAATCAATTGATGTTAACATCGGTTAAATCGTTTCGCGGAACAGATTTCTGGTATTATTTATTAGCAAAAGAGCTAACATTGATCTCAATGAACGACTGTTCCGATAGCGATATCAGCCAAGAAATGGCCGATAATTATACCAATTTATCCGCCGATGATAATGAAGATAACAAACCCATAGTTGTCAAACAAGAACCACAATAATTGTATTTAAGGTATAAATTAAAGTTTGTTTAATATCTATATATTTTTTTGATGTCATATTAAATGCATGATTGAATAAATTTATATATTTTATACAATAATAATAATAATAATAATAAAAGTTTGTTAGTGATCATCATATTAAATATATATAACATTTGAAAATAAATAAATAAAACAAAAAATATTATTTCAATTCACCAAAATTTATAATTATATTATTATTATTATTATTGATTTATAATTAAATTAATTAATAAATAATTCGATTTATAAAAAAAAAGTTTCGGCAAAAAAATTTGTGAAAGTTTTCCCAAAAATTTTTTTCGTTTCCTAAATATTTTTTTGTTGTGCGAAACAAATTAAGATTTATTTTTTTTGTTTTATTTTTTTGTATCATTTGTTGTCCATCAAAAGTCTTAGACATTAATCTCTCTCTCTCTCTCTCTCTCTCTCTCTCTCTCTCTCTCTCTCTCTCTCTATTTAACTAACTGTTCCGGCAGTAGTGGTAACAGCCATGAAAAGAGATGACCGATAATTATATACAAAAAAATTTTTTTATTTAAACCAAAGATGATATGGTTGTCAATCAAGAACCAGAATAATTGTATAAAAAAAATATAAAACATTTTTTTTCTAAATTTTAGTATTTTGTTGTTATGTAGTGTTGTTTTTTCGTTGATTGAATGCATGATAAATACAGTAAATATTTATTTTATATAATAATAATAATACGATAAGTTTGTTAACTATTGTTATCAAATAATATAATATATATTATATTATTTTTAAAAAAAAAGATTAAAAATATAAAACAACAACAAAATTATTATTACTGTAATATTATAATGAGATATCATTTAAAGTTAGTTATATCAATATATATATATATTGTTGGTTTAAAATGCTTTGAAGCATTTGAAATTATCGCTTGAATTATATATATTAGTATAAATTTAATAAATAAAATTAAATAAATAGAGATATAAAGTTTGATAAACCGTAAAAATATTTAGTTTAATTTTTTGATACTAATTGTACGCTTGTTTTTGTTGTATATGTTTTATAATAGCAGTATAATTAATATAATATAAATGATAAAAAATTTATTATCATTTAAATTTGAATAAATATTTAATATATATATATATATATATATATATATATATATATATTGAATAATAATACTAATAAACAACAATAACAGTGTACCGTATATAGGACTATGAAATTTGATAGAAAAAAATATATGGGAAATATGTGTCAAACAAACAATGATATAATAGGTTATCTCAACAAAACAACAAAAATGTATTATAAAACTCTCAGTATTTCACTCATCACTCATTAGGAATGGGTATTGAAAGTCAAATAATATTAAATAATAATAATATGGTTTATGACATAAACTTTGTGTATATGTTTTTTTTTATGAATTAATGTATTACAGTATTATACGGTAATTGAATTTATTTATTTTTTTTAATTATGTAATAATAATAATAATATCTATGTGTAATATCTCATTAAAAATCATTATAATAATTAAAATAGTCTACATATCTTGTTAGTAGAGTCAATGTATTATAATATTTATTATTATTATTATTATACTATTGTTATTATTCAATTATACAGTACATTGAATTAATTGAATATATATACTGTATATATATTATATTATATTTCAATAATAATAATAATAATAAATACCATGAAATATGATATATCAATGGTATATATATATATAAAAGTTTATACACTATATATTATATACATATTTGAAATTATTTTTGTTAAATATTAATAGTCATTCAATGTGTGTGTGTGTGTTATATACAGTAAAGGTTTAAATATATATATATATTAAATATTTTAGTTATGAATCATATAACTTATGATTATATTATTAGTATTATTATTATATTAAAAATTACTTATTTATTAAAAAAAATCATTATATGTCACACAAAAAAATACTCTCCAGCGGGGAATCGAACCCCGGTCTCCCGCGTGACAGGCGGGGATACTAACCACTATACTACTGAAGATTCAATGAACTATTTCTAGTATAATTGGAGCTTGATCAATTTTAGCAATTTTATACTATGTAAGTTTTATTTAATTATACATGTATATAATATACATTTTTTTTAAAATTTAAAAAATTAATTTTTAATACAACAACAAAAATTATATTTAATTTATTTAACACATATAATAATTTCTAAAAATAATTTCTATATTGTTTTAAGTGTATAATAAATTAAGGAAATTTTTAAAACTTAAACTTAATGTTTTTTAAAAAAAAAAAGTTTAAAATAAGTTTTCGATTAAATGTATTTTATTTTAACAAAAAAAATTTTTTTTTTAAATAAAACACTAATGAAAAGTTGATCAATGATTGACATATAAAATATATTGTTATTATGTTTTATAATGTGTTATATACAGTATATACCAGTACTAGTAAATTGTGTGTCAATTGATGATCACATAATACAATAATAATAATAATAATAATAATAATGTGATTCACATTACAGTAATACTACAATAGATTATATATATAAATACAGTATAAGTATACTTATATTAAAGTGAATTAATGTATTAAAAAAAAACTAAAATTTTTATAAATTTTATTTTATTTATTGTTTAATTAACTTATTGTCTGATTTTTTTTTGTTTGAAAAAAGTATATGATTTCTGTGCCAAACATTTTTACTAATAGTTTTTATTTTGAACTGTATATACAAATAATAATATTATTATTGTTGATACATGTATTGTCTGTTTGAATATTTATTCAATTGTATGGCATATTAATATTAATATTATTATTAATAATAATTTTTTTTTGTATTGAAAGTGCACACACTTATGCAAAATGTATGGGAACTACATGTATATAAACTTTTTTTATTTTGTTGTTTTATTCAATACAAGTGCTGGGAATCGCCGCCAGTCAGTCAGTCAGTAGTATTAGTAAAGTATTGAATATATATACTATAAAATTGTATACAAAATATACCATTTATTATTATTTTTGTAACCCCTATTAGAGAGAGAGAGAGAGAGAGAGAGAGAGAGAGAGAGAGAGAGAGAGAGAGAGAGAGAGAGATCCCTCTCTTAACGCATCAAAACCTGTTTCTCTCTCTCTGTGTGTAATAAATAATAATAATAATAATAATATATTTGAAAAAAAAACTTTTTATTTTTATTTTGCAAACTTTGCATTTGATTACAGGTGTAGTTACAGACTCTCCTCATCTCTAACCTGAGCTCACATGTAGTAGTGTTTGTCTCTCTCTATGTGTGTATGCAATGATTACGACAGTAATACTGTAATATTTGTGGCATAAAAACGGCTAAACATTTATATATATATATCTGTAGTATAAATCTGTGTGTGAAAAAACAATTGGTTTGATAGACCAACCACTACTACTACCGTACATACAGTTCCCCTCTCAATATCACTACTGGGAACTAACAGTTTTCACTTTTTTTTTCTAAGTGTATATATATTTGTGAAATTATTATTTTTTGTTGTTGAAAACTATTTATATATACATCAATATGATGTATCAATAATTTTTGTTGATGATATTATTATGACATAAACTATATATATATATAAATATTTTTATATTTATATTAACCACAAAACCAATAAAAATAAAAAAAAAAGTTGTTTCACTTAAATACATTGTATGAATAAATCACTATCATATCAATCAATCACTAAACAAAATTTTTTTAACAGTTATATTTCAATATATATATTGTGCATTAATTATCATAAATTTTTATTAATTTTTTTTTTAGTTGAATTAAATTAACTTAATTTATAAATTTTCAACACAACAAAAATCATGTGTTGACATGTTTTGTGAATTTTATTTTGTTGTTTTTTGAAGAAAAAAATGTTTTATATAAACATTTAAACAAAATAATAATATTTTGTGTGAATATCGATATAAATTTTCATATATTAATATAATATTTTTTTGTTGGGTATTAGTAGTGTGACCTTAAAAATTGTAATTTTATAATATTATTATTTTTTTAATATATATATAAATAGATAAAAATAAGTTATATTTTATTTTTATAACAAAACGGCACGTATTTTTTTCTAATAAAAAAAACAAAAAAATAATTTATGTGACAAATATAATATATTATTTGATTTTGATTTGATTTTGAAAAAAAACTAAAATATAATTTGTAACAACAAATTATAAAATACAGTAATAATAATAATAATAATAATAATATTTGATTTGTGATATGATTATTAGATACACACAAATAATATTTCAATGTTGTTAACCTACTAATAATGAATTTTTAATTTTGGTTTTTTTTACTATCAATTAATTTTATTTTTATTTTTTTATTTGATAATAATTGTCCTGTTTTTGTGTGTATGTGTGTTGAGTGTCTCAATAATTTGTTAAATGATTTATTTATTCATAAAAAAATCACTGATAATAATAATAATAATAATAATTAGTTCATTGAAATTGTATTAAATATTTTCTGCTGGATATATCTGAAGGAAAACTTTTGTTTTAAAAAAAAACTTTTTACATATATTTAACTGTAAGTATTTAATAATAATTATAATTATTATAATTTTTTTATAAATAATTAATTTGTTTGTGTGTGCAAAACCTTGACTATTAATATTTATTGTTATTATTATAAATAATATTAATCATCACTGTATTGTGTGTGTGTTTTGTTTAATATATTTAATTAGTTAGTAATTTTTTTTAATACAATAACTATCAATTAAAATCATATTAAAAGTTTTAAAATAAATATTATATAAATTTATTACAACTATTTTTAAACATTTAACATACTTTTTTAATATTAAATATATAAATATATAGTGAATATAATTGGGGATACATTAATATTCAATAGGCTATTGCATTATACAATAATTATACAAATATATATAATTAATAGTATTTAGTATTGAATTTAGTGTTATTGAAAATTATTGATTATTATTATTAAATAAA